CTCTCTCTGCTTTTCCTCAGAGTAGCTTTGCCTCGTCTGTTCCTGTTTGGCTGTGACGCCATCCTGGAGATCAACATCAGCTGTGCTGCTTTTATCAACACCCTTGTTTATAGATGCTGGAGATCGGCCTGTTTTCCAGTGTGGTCCTGTTTCTCTGACAGTGACTGACTGGATGTGCTCTCTTCGTCCTCTGACATGGAAGCTGGGTCGGAGCTTGTCTGCCTGGCTGTGTGTTTCCTGGATGGGGCCGCCTTTTATAGCTCCTTTTTGTGTGTCTGCTTCTGTCTCCTTGAACCCCAGTCGGCCTCTGCAGATGGCCGCTCACACTGAGCCTGGTTCTGCTGGAGGTTTCTTCCTGTTTAAAGGGAGTTTTTCCTCTCCACTGTCGCTACAAGCATGCTTAGTGTGAGGGATTGTATTTGAGTCAATGAGTCAATGCAATCAACTGGTTTTCCTTAGATAGAAAACTTTGTATCAATTTGACTGTATGATCTGGTTGAACTGTAAAGTGCCTTGAGATGACATGTGTTGTGAATTTGGCGCTATATAAATAAACTGAATTGAATTGAATGTCAGCCCACTCCCCTGTAACTCCCAGCAAAATCTTCTCCCTGAGCCCAACATATTTCTTTTACTCTGACTTTCACTATATTACAGGGTCTGACCAGGAGATGACATTTCTCTTTAGATCTTAATGTCCACAAATCATGACCGAATATTTAAGTACAAATATTAATGTTTAAAAATCAATTTTAGGGGACCAGCCAAGGACCCATCAAGGAAAGGGGGAAAATTTTGAATGGCTGCCACTGAATGCAATAATTATTATGCTATCCATCCGGATTAAGTTTATCATTTTTCCATGACATCACAAAAGGAAACATTGCGATACCCAAAACAGACACCTGATCTAAACCAAACAAGTTTAAAGGAAGTTCTACCAAATACTAAGGAAATGTATGTAAATTTTGTTGGCTGTTAAAAGTTGTGTCTGCAACAAAAGTTAAGGCAATGCTTTTAAGATGTTGGCTTTGCTGCACTTCCATGACTTCGGAGTAACCACCATGTTCTGCGTCTTAGCTGCATTACATAACAACTTTATAGTGTGACCGCATCCTGGTGTGTCCCTTAGAGCTGTATAAGGCCAGAGGCCAGGGTGTGGTGCAGTTTCAAAATCATCATAGGAAAATGTAAATCACTAGTAAAGCAGTGAGGCCATCTGAAGGCATTTCGAGGTTATGATAAATATTGGGGTCTCTTTAGCATTCAGCCATTTCTAATCTATCTAATCTATGAGACCCGGCTCCACGGTGGACCAGTTTGTAGCGCTGTTGCCTCACAGCAACAATGTACTTGGTTCGATTCCAGACCCGGGGTCTTTCTGCATGTTCTCCTCGTGCATGTGTGGGTTCCCTCCAGGTACTCCTCTCACATGACTCTGGTACATGGGATGTCCAGCTCCACTCTTTTAGAAACGTAACATTTTGGCCATTTTATCTCGCATAAATAGCTTAGGTTCAGTTGAATTTGATACATGTAAAGCCAGTCTGGAAAGGTTCATTTTCCAATCTTGCCACAACTTCCACACGGAATAAAAACATTTTCAGAACATGAGTCGGTCACCAACATTCTTCACTGTGTGTGCTTAAATGATAGATCTAACAGTGCTCCTCAGGATGTTCTATGTTTTACGTTCCAACTCTGCTACCTCTCCAAACCTTTTTCCTGACCTCTTCAGTGCACCTACCAAAGCTTTTAAGGCTTTCACTGAACAGCCTTATTTCTAATTAGTAATGGCAGATGTTTTACACTAGATTTTAAGTAGAGATCACATGAGATCTCAAATACATTACAGTTGTACTGCTCCACTTAAGATGCCATCTGATCTGCTCTTCACCTGAGCCTTGCACAACTGGAGGGGAAGAACACAGACGGGGGATGCTGTTCCTGGACTTAAGTTCAGCTTTCAACACCATCAACCCACAGCGTCTGATAGGCAAATTGAAACAGCTGGGATTCAATAAACCCCCCTGCAATAGGCAGCTAGACTTCCTCACAGACAGACCTCGGTCATTCTGGGTTGGAGAGCACACCTCTGATGTCATCAGTCTAAGTACAGACTCCCCCTCCCCCCAAAATACGGCATACTTGCACCATATATATTTAATGCTCTAAACTTCCATATCAATGCGTTTTGCACCATGATTTTTCTCCTACACTGTTTACATTGATAACTTCTGCACTTTATGAAATGGAAATGTTCATTTCACTGCTAAGCTGCTGCTCATTTACTGTCTGAAAGCTGTACAAAACTAAATTTAATAAAAGTTGTCTAAGTCTAAGTTATTTGATTTACATGATTGCAGTTTTTTCTTGTATCATTTTACTAACATATTGACAAATTTAATTTATAAGATTTAAGTATCTCCAAAGGAGAAGAGTGGAATCAGCTCTTTGCATTTGAGGGTTCCCGAAAGTGGTGGAAAGCAGGTGAAACATTAACTTTTGTTCTGCTGACAAGATACTGCCACTGCTTCCTTATTAGTGGAAACAATGGAAGGCTTGGGGCCAGATGCCGCTCGCTAATGGAGGAAAAGAGTTAGTCCGCTACCTCGGCAACCCACAAATCACCACCTATGCTGCTCTGACCAATCAGACAGAGGACATTACTGTCCAGAGAGCGGTGCGACATCAGACTCAGCAGCTGTGATGTTCAACAGAACTACTTTTTTTTAGATAATATCCTCTTTCTTTTTAAATGATGCCCATTTTTAAAGTAACAGGGAATCTATTTGGAGAACTTTACAATAGATATTTAACCTAGATATTTATTCAGTCTACTTTTCAAAGTAAATCTCTTTCCTAAGCTTTTGTTCTTTTCTGGCACTGCGGTGGGTTGATGGCGTGGTTTCATCTGGCTCTGGTCAAAGTGAATTGGACAGCACTTTTAATTTTGGCCCACTTCACTTACCTGCTGATGGGGGCCATCGTCTTCCAGCTGCTGGAGAGAGAAGCCGAAAGCAATAACCGCAACCACTTTCAGCTGGAGAAGCTGAATTTCCTGACTAATTACACCTGCTTGGATGGTCCTGCCTTGGAAAAGTTTGTTCAGGTCTCCATTTGATCTTTTCTTCTTTTTAATTGTTGAATATTTCTTAAAGTGAAGAGATTCAGGCTTTTAGATGTACTTCTGACTTTGTGGTTAACAAAGGCTTTCGTCCTATTCCAATAAAACCAATTCATTATGAAAATATTTGTCAAAATTGGCGTGTGAAGCTGAACAATCGATTTTATTATTAGGTCAGGCGCAGGGCAATAAATGATTTTACGGCAACTGTCCTGATAAATCAATAAGTATGTCATCATTTCTAGCATTTAACAACATAATTACTCCAATGACTCTAAAAGGTTTCATTCTCGTATTTAAATCCTACTTGATCAATGTATCTGGCCAGTTTAAACATTAACTAAAATAAAATGTTTTATTTAAGAATTTTCATAAAAATGCCTTGTATAAATAAACATTTTGACAATGGTGATACTATTTAATTAGTTTATTCAATGTTACCTTCTTTTTGCCGTTAAGTGGTTTTTTAATGTTATCAAAAACCCTGCTTTATTTAGAATTACTATGTAAAATGGGAATGAACAACATATAACTTGTGTTAAATACCTAACTGCTACAGTAGTTGTCTAGTTGTAAATTTAGACCCAACAGGAGAAAATTAATTGGCCTAGTTGAAATAGAACACGCAGTGCTCTTGTAATTGTATACATTTTTGGAAAATTCCAGAGGCAGTTTAAGTGTAAATTCACAAACAACCATCTACATCTCACATCTTTGTGTTATGCAAGTTGACTTCTTTTCAATGCCTGGGATCATTGTTGATTTATGTTTTAATGCCTTGTTTTGCCGTGTCTGCAGGTAATTTTATATGCCTGGGAAAAGGGAGTGAACCCTTCAGGCAACTCGACAAATCCCAGTAACTGGGATTTCAGCAGCTCCTTCTTTTTTGCAGGCACAGTCGTCACGACCATCGGTAAAGAGCTATGATAACAATGCTGCAAAAACAATCTATAAATAAATTTTAAATTAAGTGCATTTATTTTAATTTGAGTAGGTAAATAAGATGATCTGCCAATGGAATAAGCATCTTTGCACTTGAAATAAGACTATGCAATTTTTTTTTTTTTTTTATGTAAATTGTCTTGCTCCATTGGCAAAGTGTCTCACTTACCTCCTAAATTCAAGAATAAATGCACTTAGTTTAAGAACAATTTACTCATCTAGATTTCGATTTTTTCCAGTGAAGGTCATATGTTTTAAATCTTTCATCTCTTTAGTTGCTGTACATGCTGATGCATCATCACATCCTGTCTGTTTGGTTCACAGGTTATGGTAACCTCTCGCCGAGCACCGTGGCCGGTCAGGTGTTCTGTGTGTTTTACGCACTGTGTGGCATTCCTCTGAACTTGGCTTTCCTTAAACAGCTGGGCAAGAGTCTCACCATCCACCTTGGTCGACTGGAGAGAGGGATGGTGGCAGTGGTTCCTCACAAGGTGCTAATGTGGTTCTGTTTGCTCTGTGATGCAGCGTAGAACTGATGCTTGTGTGCTCTGGCTAAATTAAATGTTGTTCTCTCCCAGAGAGCAGTGGAAGCCCTGGCAGTGAGTTTATTCTTTATCACCGGCAGCCTGCTGTTTCTCGTCATCCCTCCTCTGCTGTTCAGTTACGTGGAAGGCTGGACATTCGGAGAGGGCTTCTACTTTGCTTTCATTACCCTCAGCACCATTGGTTTTGGAGATTATGTGGTGGGTGAGTACAGAGGGTAAACAAACCACTAATGTGCTGGAAAGGCCGCAGCAGTTGCCTCTTTCTATCTCAGGCTCCCCCAGTCCCTCTCTGTTGTATAAGTCAGTGAGGCATTGGAAGATTAATGTGTGCCATGAGCTCAGGCAAACTCACTTAACACGTTCTTACATGTTTCTGCTTAAAGGCACCGACCCAGGGAAGGACTACATCTCGCTGTACCGCTGCCTCGCAGGCATTTGGATCATCTTTGCGCTCGCTTGGCTCGCTCTTATCCTCAACATGGGAGTGCGAATCATGGAAAACTTTGTTATCCTTACTCATCCGGGCTTTAAGAAGCATGACGAAGAAGACGAGGAAGTGTCTGCCAGTAAACTAGAAGCCACATCAAAAATTTGACTATGGACTTTGAAATTATTTGCAAGTTATACTGATTTGCTGTTAAATATTGTATTTAGTTTTTAAACTGTATTCTAATAGAGGATGAGGCAAAAGCAGTTTTCATATGTACATATATTAGTCATGTATATTGCCTTCTACCTCAACGTTAAAGTCTGTGATCCGGAATCATATTTTTTTTTCCATTCCCAGATGTGTGTTTGTATACTGCTCCTAGTGCTCTTCTGATTCCCACCCGTATGATTAGATGTTCAAACAGGATACTCTGACCTGAGCTCATTTCATGGCTTTGTGTGTGTGTCTGTGTGTGTGTGTGTGTGTGTTCGTTGATGTCGGTCTACATCTGTGCTTGTGTGCTGATGGGAAACTGGTGAATTGAGCACGGACAGCTATCTTAAACCAACACATTAATCAAGATGGTGATGCGGAGTGGAAAAAGGAGGATGACTCTCACCTGTCTCTGCCTTATTTATTTATTTTTTTAACTAAATGAAACGCAACAAAATCCACATATTTGATTTAAAAGTAGAGCGCCTGGCAGCAATCTTCATAAAACCTGAAACATGGAAACATTTGTCATATATTACAACTACAAACATTAAAGAATTTTGTTGGGATTTCTGTATTGTACCAACATAAATGGTTGCATGATAATAAAATATGAGTAAGAAGATCCATCCATCTTCTTCCACAGTCCTTGTCAGGGTCGCGGTGAGACCGGTGCAAATCTCTGGCAGTCTATGGGCGAGAGGGGGGTGTAAAACCTGTACAGGTCGCCAGTCTGTGGCAGGACAGAGTAAGAAGATATGTGGTTTATTTTACATAAAACCTAAAAAAGAATCATCTTTGTTTTTTGAGAACCATCTTTGCATTATACCAAAGGAACATTCAGGGTTTTAGGGGTATGTCCCGAAGACCTTTCACCAATAGAGACATTTTTACCCCTTTTTCTTTTCAAAATGGCTCACCCTTTGTCAGACAGTATAGTTATTGCCCTGAAGCCGTATTTTTCAGGACCTGTTTAATGCAAATCAACCATATTGAGCTTTTATCAAGTAAGGGCTGGTTATACTCCCACAGCAATGTGTCGCAGTGAGCTTGTCGCAGAAATGACCCAGATAGTTTTGATTTATGCCCAATTTTGAGCGTGGCCTGCGCTATGTTATTCCACGCCACAACGCAAGAGGGACAACCACGAACTAGCTGTGGGTCTAGATATGGCAGAGGCGGTGAGGAAGTGGAAAAACGTAAGGGCAAAGTTGTGCAACGGAAGGACATGAGGGTGGAAAAAGGGTCCCAGCATTCTTTCACACCTCGCTCTTCTAGCTGGTCCATCTTCACGAGTCGTTTTCCACAATGGCGGTCGCTAAGGTACCAAACAGGAAATATGCACAGTGTAGAGTGGATGTTCCAGGCAGATAATCACCGTCCTTTGTAGAACAGAGATACAGAGATCGCCATTTAGTTTTTCTGCCTGTTCCTACCCGACTGATCTTACCCATTGAGCAACATGCCATGTATTACACCTTTATTCTAAACCATTTAGCTATTTTTTATCTTCCCATAGACTCTGACCAGCTTGTCTGTGTCTGCTGAAGAAATGATCCTCACAGCATAATGCTGCCTCCATGAGTTAAGGGGGATAAATGTACAGTGTTAGCTTTCAGTTTTATGCAATGTTTTGCATTCTTACCACATGAGTTAAACATTTCCTCCCTCTTTAGCTATGGATATTTTATGCTTCTTTGAATAATGACTTTCTTGCTTAGTTTGTCATTTTTTAGAGTATGCTCACGTTTTTTGTAAAATGGTAAATGGCCTGTACTTTTATAAAGCCTTTTTAAGTCATGGGACTCACCATGGGAATGTAGTGTAAAATACAAGCTAGGTCAATAGTAGTGGGAAGCTACGATGTTGCTACAGCTGGCCTGGGATACACAGATATAAGCAAAGCTGCTGTGCACAGGAACCACTGGGCCTGCTGACCACCATTGCTAGGCATTGCAGGTGAAGCCATAGCACCCAAGAATGACACAGCTGGGGCTTTAACCCCAACACTCTGGTTTCAGGTGAAAATCCTACATGTTACACCACTATCAACCCATTCAGCAGTAGTTTGTGAGGGGCTTTGACTTTTTAATAACCTATTACTTCTTTGGCAAATCTCTCCACAACTTATTTTTGTGGGTCTTCACGATACAGTTAATGCTCAACAGAACAACATTTATTTATTTTATTTATTCTGCAGTTAAATCATATATGGGTTGTTTCCCAGGTGAACACTTCTATGCCCAAACGATGGCCTTAAATTTATTTATTAGTATCGAGGTAAAAGGGTTTGGGTTATCCCTCAGTATGACAAAATATGATAAACTAGGGTGATTTTTTTTCTTCTTTTTTAAGACATTTTACATTCCCACTTGTGTTGCTGTGTCTCCCTCGCCTTATATTGCTCCTTTGGATTTGCATGTGAGGCCACTGAAGTGATTGAAGCAGTGGTGCACTGGAAAGGTTAATTTGCCTGCAATGCAAGTCTTGCAGGAAAACCCTCACTTCTCTTTGAACCTGACTGCAGAGGCTGAGACCGGGCTGAAAACCAGAGTTCCGACTGCCAGGCCAAGATGGGAGGAAAGGAGATGTTCAATCTAGCCCGGGTGCCATCTATTCTCATGCTCGGCATGGTTTATGTGGCCTATGTGTTGATTGGTGGTGTAATCTTCTGGGAACTGGAAGGAGAACTTGGAAAAAAGGATCCCACTCCTTTACGCTATCAAAAACAGAGTTTGTTTATGAGGTACAGCTGTCTAAACCAAGAAGGTCTGGAGGAAGTGGCTAAGGTACAGTGCTCAAAAATGTGTGAATATGATAAAATTGATCAATTGAAATAACAGTTTTCATTGCTAATAAGGTAACAGGAAGAGTTTCTAGTTCAACAGATCTTGTATATATCACAAACTGACTCCATGATAATACATGCTAAAGTTTTTCTATTTCTAGTTTTTTAGTGCACAGGAATACCATCAATTTAGAAGGCATACTCCTGTTTAAAGGGCACTGTTTACGTCCCACTAACTGCTGCTGGATGACCATTAAGCTCTCAGGCAACACTGAGTTAGAAACCCTCATGTTATTATTACAAAGACATCAAATTTAAAGTAACTTAGAAAGCCATATTGGCTTCAGTAAGCAATGCAACCTGAAACTGCATCGCAAAATGTAATTCCATATGGACCCCCTACCTGAAGACATGCCATGATGCAATCTCATCCCAGATGGACACAAAGATTGGGACAATTATGTTCCTGTTTAATGTGCTTTTGGGATGAAGCCCAGTAGGATATAGGTAAAAAAAATAAAACCCAGTCTGTCCTTTAGATGCAAAAAGAAAAACAGGGGGGTTTATTTGGTTCCTATATACCATGACAGCATCTATAATTATACAGTTATAATGTTATAATGATCTGTCTTGCAGACCTCTGGGAACTCTAATCACACTCGTCCCTTGGTTTGCATTCTGGTTTTATTGTCAGGAGAAATAGAACTTATTAAAGAAGAGCACCTTGCAGCTATGCAGCTGCATTGCAACAAAGGTATAATTCAGTTCAGTCTAATCGGGTGTTTTTATGCTTTTAAATCTACTTGGAGAAGATAAATTATGTATTTCACTGTTTTTAGATTAAAAGAACAGAATGTGAAGTATTGATGAGGTATTACGGGTCATAAAACTATTATAAATGCATGGCTTGCTGGTCCTGAATGAACAACGGCATAGAAAATAAATCCTGAAATATATTTCCTCTCTATAATCTTTAATAAGACTAAAGCAAAACTTACATTTGGATTCATCAGCTGCATTTATTCTGGTCCCTTTTCTCTTATTTAAGAGATTTAAACTGAACCACAGCTTTCAGGATCCCCTTTGGGTGTATATTCAAAACACAAGTGATGAAGCAACTTGTTGGAGTTTGCTTAATTATAGGTGCAGCCACAAACAAAGGCTTGGGAGCTCTGTTACCTAAACAAACCAAAAGGGGCTTTCAGCTAAACTGTAAACCAGTTACATAAGAGGACAGCATATAAGCATCAAAACAAACCCAGAGACAATAAGCTGAATTAGTAAAGTTTGTGAGCTAGACTGATAGGCCTGGATTTAAATTGTTTGAAGGATTATACAGAGATGTTTTGGTCACTAAAAAAATGTTGTGCAGACTGAGACAGACTCTTTTAAAACCGTCACTAGTTAATAACTCATCTGTCATAGGTTAGAAACTGGTATTAACCTGAAGAGAGATGGCTTTAATCAGCTTTTTCTAACTAATATGTTACTTGTCTTAATATTAAGATTTATATATATGTGTGGAAAGAAATCCCTACAAATGACCCAATTTGACTCCTTTTGACTTATAGATAATCATGATGTATGTTAACTATAGCAGAATGAGACGAAGAGGTGGTCTGAGAAAGTCTGGGTTGGAAATGAACCCTGACTGCAAAAATATAAAGTACTTTTGGTTTTGGATGTTTTAGATACTTAAGCTGGTTTAAAGGAAAAGAACATAGATTTACACAGGTGTCTATGATGCAAGAAAATGCAAAGGAGCTTTGTATTTTCTTCATCTAATGAATCATTAAAATTTACATGAGCTGCATTAGATTTACATCCAGAGGGATACATCCTGTAAAATAGAAAATCAACTGTAAGGAAGATAAAAAAAACATATTTGAGGTAGAAAAAATGTTTTAAACGAAACAAATAGCTTTAAAGTTTTTTTGGAAAACATTGGAAGGTTAAATCAAGCATTGCAGATGTTGTGCTTGAAAGCTTACATACACTCCCATTAAAGAAAATTATAAAGTCAAAAATAATAATTTGAAAAGTAATTATAAATAAAAATGTACTAAATTATAAAATTGCTTTTTCTATGCTTGTTTAATAAATAAGTATAACAAATAAGAACATAGATAGATAGATAGATAGATAGATAGATAGATAGATAGATAGATAGATAGATAGATAGATAGATAGATAGATAGATAGATAGATAGATAGATAGATAGATAGATAGATAGATAGATAGATAGATAGATAGATAGATAGATAGATTTTTTTCCTGCCCGTTTGGGTCCCACAATCAGAAAATATTTATTGAAGATGACATTTTTGGAAAATCTGATTTTTTTTTAAATGAATCCTCTCCTTGTCCTTCCATAATTCAGGGTGACCTCACTTCATCACTTTTTTGCTCTTATCTGTTAAAAATGCTTTCTGTGTGATACAACTAGCTCTGTGTTTTATTTTCATTGTTAATTTTACATGCATATTTACAGCTTTAATTTTGTTGCCCTTTAAGATATGGTCACCTCCCAGAGAGGATGACTGAAAACAAAGCTAGTTCTTCTTAAGTAATATATGTCATTTGTCATTTTTATTCTCAAACTTAACAACTGTATAACGGAGCCACAGGGGTGCTACATACAGTAATATTTTTGCGCACAAAGAAATAATTTGTATCAGTCTGTATCAATGGTATCAGTCAATATACACTATATTGCCAAAAGTATTTGCTCACCCATCCAAATTATTGGAATCAGGTGTTCCAATCACTTCCATGGCCACAGGTGTATAAATTCAAGCACCTAGGCATGCAGACTGTTTTTACAAACATT